TTAACTAATAAGCTCACCTCTGAACTTGGATAGAAGCCAGTGAGGGGATATAGGAAACAAGCATATTTTCCCAACACTAGAGAGATGAGCACATTTTCCAGTGGAAACATGAGAACAGGCATATATGCCATTGAAGGAAATGGCTCCCAAATCCTTTTTTATCCCCAAGAACAGAGTTCCATCCCACACTTCGAGGAATGGGCAGAATGGCATCTCCTCCAGCCAGAGTCCAAAATCACTTTTCTTATTCTCAGTGTGGCTTGAAATGAATTCCCACATGAGACGCATGGCCCTTTTCCCCTTCAACAGAAATCCACATCATACTGAGTCACTAGCTCTCAGGCATCTTCACGTGTCTTCTCACCAACTTCCGTTCCTAGGGTAAGGGTTGGCAAACCCCAAGGTCATATCTGACCCTCTACCAGGTCATGTAAATAAAGTGCTACCGGAACACAGCTATGCCCATTTGTTTAAATATTGTCTATGGTCTACGGCCATGCTACTCTCAACAAGCCCGATCCCGTCTGATCTCGGAAGCTAAGCAGGGTCGGGCCTGGTTAGTACTTGGATGGGAGACCACCTAGGAAGACCAGGTGCTGTAGATGTAAAAAATAAAAAATAAGGGATTGTAAGCTGACAAGGTCCTTGCGATCTGTGAGGTCAACCAAGGGTTGCCTCGCAAATACACACATACATACATACATACATACATACATACATACATACATACATAAATATTGTCTATGGCTACTTTCACATGACAGTCGCAGATCTGAATCATTTCGACAGAGACCATATGGTCTGCAAAGCTTAAAATGGGTATTATTAGACCATTTACAAAAAAAGTTTGTCAATACATAATATAGAAGAAGAAAAACACTTTAGTCATTGTTTATGCCACCAAGGCTCTAAGAAACGGATATGTAGGTAGAGTTTTGAAATCAGCTACAACAAAATGAAAGTAAATTAGTGTTTTACTGAAATCTCACTATTAGAATAAGTTGAGAAGAAGGCCAGTATAGATTAGAAAAAAATAATGATAACATACTGCTTTCATATGCCCTGTTCTTAGAATTCACATCCATATAAATTCAAATTGTTTGAAACGACTGTTTCAAAGAGTCTCTATCTTCTTGTTTTTGCTCAATTCCAAAAACCTTAACTAAGCTGCTTGCACTTATAAGGCCTGCCCTGAGTGTTGTGTAAGTGTACAAAGGGGAAGTGTACA